CAATCTGTCATGGCAGATAGTTCACTCACACATAACTTAGATACTTCAAAGTCCAGCATACCAGAACTTTTTCTATCTGGTAACTTCCCTGACTGCCAGAATCAACTTCCTCTACTCTTAAAAGCACTTAAAAAATAAAAGTCTTATGCTTTTAAAATTAAGTGAAATAATCTGCTATGTTCAGAGGAGGTGCGGTCAGTCAAGAATCTTAGGAGTATGTTCAAACCTGTAGCCACTGCTGGGGGGGCTTCACACACAGAGAAGCAACACACAGCTAGCGCTGCTCTCTCAGCAAACTGCCAGCTTTTGTCAGCCAGCAGATGTTCCATTGTTTGGCTCAGTGGTGTAGGGTTGCCTCAGTTAAAGTTGGGACACTTGCTGCATCTTTTGAATTTAGCCCCATTGAGTGCCATCAACCCCTCCCAACCCCCCCTTCACCCAAAAGCTACTCAGAGAGGGGCTTTACCCCTCCCCTCTGTCCCCTTTAACCCCCCGACAGACCTCATAGTTGTTGTCCCGCAACCGCAACTCCCACCACCACCACTACAACTTTTACCCTCCCCTCTCCCCAGGTCCTTGGGTCAGACCCCTACCCCCGACACACAAAGGCCAATTTATTGACCAGTTACTGCAAAGCGAGGCTGATGCAGGGCGTTTTTGCATCAGTATACCTTTAAAGTGCTCGAATGCAAATGCACACACATCGAAGGACACATATAAGTACTCTAGGTCTGCATTATCAGATGGCAAAGGTGCAGAAGCGTCTGTTCGTTTTGCATAGTTACAATTCCTTCTTTTCAACTGCAAGTCATGACAGTCAGTGACTGCTGTTGTCAGAGAGGTCTATAGTGTCCACCTCTGTGGAGATTATGCAATAATGAATGCCCTGTTTTTCCCTTTCACGCTATAAGCCTGCGTGTGTGTTCTTGTGAAAGACAGAGAAACCTAGGAAACACATGAGCAGCGCAGACTTCCTGTTTTTGTGAAGAACCCATTGGAGAAGGCAGGAAGTGAGGGGAACTGCTGCTATGTATTTTTTTTCTCACAACATAAAGGTAGATGTGTTTAATTAAATGGCAAGGAATTAGGATAGGGATATGGAGTACATTGTGGTCCCTTTTAGTGATCTATGTCACCATTTCAGCATACAGCCCGGGCCCTTTAGCGTGATTGTGTGAGCTTTCTTGTGCGCAATAACAGAATAGAATAGAATAGAATAGAATAGAATAGAAT